CGTATAATCCAGTCGACCGCCTCAGGGCACCGAGACGTAGGGCTGTTACTTCTTCCGAGAAGGGCCTGAACTCGTAAAACTCGTGTGTACAACTACTCCATAGCTAGGATCTTGCCTCCTCATACCTACCCCCCATTCTACTATCAGTCTTAGATCCATGACACCTATTTCTGAGGAGTGCAAAGAAGCTATCTGGTTGAGAGGTTTGTATACTGAGCTTTGTGGAGATTCATCTTTCCCTACCATATTTTGTGACAGCCAAAGTGCTATATGTCTTACAAATAATCCAATGTATTACTCTGCCTTTCACTGGGCTTAAAGTGAACTATGACAAATCCATGTTGGTCCCAATTAATGTACCTAAGATTCAAACATCCCATCTGTTGAACATTTTAGGTTGCAAGCTGGGGTCCTTTGCTTTCACCTACCTGGGGCTCCCTTTGAGCACCTATAGGTTGAGAATAGAAGACTTCCACTCAATCATGTAGAGAATTGAAAGAAGACTTATTGGGTGTTCCACTCTCCTGTCATATGATGGAATATTCATGTTAATTAAGTCAGTCTTCTCAGCACTCCCAACATTTTTTATGTGCACCCTGGCTCTACTAATTAGAGTGATTGAGCAAGTCAATAAGTATCTTAGGAACTTCCTATGGAGGAAATTTGGAATAGAGGACAAAGGCACATCTCTAATTGCATGGTCCAAAGTTTGTAAGCCGAAGAAACAAGGGGGTCCTGGAATTGTTGACATTGGTACACATAATAAGGCTCTACTCATGAAAAATGACCACGATTTCTTAAATAAGGAGGACATCCCTTGGATCAAACTCATCTAGGAAAAATATAACAGTCTGAATCTGCCTCTGGACAAACTAAAAGGATCTTTCTGGTGGAAGGCCCACCTTGCTCTCTGGGCTGAGTTCAAAGTGTCAAGTTCATGCAAAGTCTCTTCAGGACAAACTTTTCTACGCTGGAAAGCCTCAACTCAAATTTCCTGAATTGCACTCTTTTGCTATAGATGATTCAATCTCACTGCAAAAATTCAATGCTTCTCAAGATCTGACAGTGCATTTTCATTTGCCAATGTCAACTGCTGCTTTTGAACAATCCAACGGTTTAAAGGAAATCATTCCACAACCTGAGCCAAGTGGAAAGGATAAGTGGATTTGTAATGGATCAGCCAATAGATACTCACCCATGCAGATGTATAAAAGATCAATGGGAGATGAAGATGGGCATCCATTTTTCAAATTAATATGGAATAGCTGAGGCAGGCTTCAGCACAAAATTTTCCTTTGGTTAGTAGCTCACTACAGAATTAACACTAGAACCTTGCTCAAAAGAAAAGGAATGCATTTAGACAATCCTTCTGCCCCAACTGCAGTCAAAGTGTTGAAGGAACCACAATGCATCTGCTATGGGACTGCCATTTTGCACAGGAGTGTTGGAACACAATTATCCCTGGTAAAAAAAGAGGCACTTCAGTGTTTGAAATAAACTTGGCCATGGATTTGCTACCCAAGAACAATGCATCTGAGATTGTTATGTTGGCATGTTAGAATATTTGGACGCAACACAATGGAAAGATATTCAGAGCATAGCAGCAGCCGATCCAAGCGTGGAGATTCTATCTTAAGCAGGATCTTAAGTTGCTTAGATTCAAAGTGAAAGAGAAACATTTTCAAGAGCTTTCAAGCTGGATAGATAGCAACATGTAAATCAATGATCTCTTTTCCTTGAGCTGGCATTGGTTAGGCCTTCTAGTCTACCCTTTCACCCTTGTAATATAGTTTTGTTTAATTAATATATATACCGTAGAACTACTGTTCTATGGTTTTCGGGTTAATAAACAAAGTAACTAGCATAGGAGGATGCATGCTTACATTACTACGATACACTTCGACTTACCATTATTTTTTCCTTCATTGTCTTAATTTGAAGCGATGCGACGGGAGGAATAAGTGTTAAGTACATGAACGATCCGTTAAAAGAAGTACGTGAATGATGAAGTGGACTCACGCACTTGGCCGAAGTATCTCTCATCTCCACCTGCTGCTCATCACCATCGCCGGCCACGTCCTCACCAGCATAACATATGTGTCTACTTCCGCTTATGCGTCTTTTCTTGTCCAGGAAGCGCTCCCATCACGAATAGCTCCTCGGTCTGGACGGTGACGATCATCGATCAAGTCTACTCGGCCATGGGTACGGCAATTCTATGAAAATTACTGCATATATTATCCTATTCATTACTTCATTATATGATGTTCTATGGAAAATATAACCCATTCTTCCGGGTTTTTAGCTCACTGGCCATCCGCACGCAGTTTCGGGCTTAAACCCGATATTTTAGCAACAAATGTAATAAATCTAACTGTAGTGCTTGGTGTTTTGAATATTTTTTTGGAAAGGGAGTGTGTGTGAGTTGTCTATTTCAAGAATAGATTGAATCTGTTCAGTAGATATGATATTGTACGTAGTAGATCTATTATCTCTTAAAAGTGAAGACCGACGGCCTAATCAAAATCATTTTATAAATGGGACAACTAATTAAATTCCAATTGCCTCATTCTTTTGTTCAAATAAAATAAATGAAACGAAATCCCACTTAAGTATATTTAGATGTCAATATTTCAA